GGTCATATGATTGTTGGGTTTTTCTCTGTATCTATGAAGCGCCTTGAGGCGACTTTTGTTGTGATTTGGCGCTATATAAATAAAATTGAATTGGAAAAAAAATTGAATTGAATTGAATTGAATTAACATTTGAAAAACAAACCTGATCAAGCACACATGGTGACCCCTTGATAGCTATTCATAACTGAAATAATAATTACAACACCGCTACAGTAGGGATTTGAAGGTAAACTTTAACAGCCCCTTGAGTCTGCAGAAGCGTTCTTCACTTGTAATCTAATAATCTAGTACAAATTATTAACTCCAACAAGTGTAATGTTCCTCGTTATGTGTGAAAAAACTACAAACCTGTTACCTTGGGAGTGAGTGACTGGTTGCTCTTGTTGTGATGATTGTGCCAGCAAAGAGACCTCCCAAACATCAGGCACATGCACATCTGTGCTAATTGTTCAAGATATAAAAATGACAATGACTTGAGGCTCATAATAATCATGTTTTATCACAAATAATTTGTGAAACAAAAAAGCTTTTGTAAGACATTTTCTTCTCTAATCAGGGAACCTCCGCTACATGTCATCCTATTGGTCCAACCAGCCAACCACGCAGGAGGCATTTCAACCCACAAATGCATCTGCTGCTTCCTCCTCCTGTCACTTTAAGGGTCGACGGCCTGCCCCCTCCAACCCCAGCGAGCTGACTCATGATCAGCTTTGTACTTTGGGACTCACAAACACTTATATCAAGTCTGGGAGTCCACCTGCCCCTCCTGCTCCACCTGGACCACCTGGACCACCTGCTCCTCTGCAGCAGCACCACACACATAACTCACCTGGACAATCACGCTATCTAAGTTCAGAGAAATACTCGCAATCTTACACCCCACCCACACCTCCTTCTCCACCTTTACCACCTTCAAACACCTACACCACAGCCTGCACTGGACCAGGCTTGCTCCCAAATCTAACCACACCCTCTCCAACCCATATGCTGGGCTCTGCCTCCACACTACAAACCTGGTAAGCAGATATTCAGCTTTATGACGCTATGACGTCACAATTTTATTTTATAGTAGGTGGAATTGTGATCATGTAAATGACAGTCTGAAGAAATAGTCCTAAAAGTTGACAGCAAGGTAACAGAAACCATGGGATACAATCCAAACCATAAAGATAAAGAAGAAGGCATGGCATGTGTTTTAGAGACAGTCCTGAAGTACTTACATTTTAAATCAGTTCTGCAATGACAGAGTGAGTCTGCAAAAGAAGGCTGAGAAAATATTCTTGAATTTAGACTGATTGACAGCCGGAACAAGTGGATGGAGTTTGATCAGTTAAAATAAATATTAAATTATTGTTGAAATGCAGACAGTTTTTGACATTTAGAATTTAATCCCATTAAGTCACAGGATATAGTATGCTACAGTTGCTATTGGTATACACAGAAGACTGTTATTGGTATAAAAATGTGTGAACATATTATTGGCATAAAAATGCCACAAAGATGAAGCATGTAAAAAGGAAATAGCAGTGGACCTTAGATTAAGCCATGTGGCACTCCATTGGAGCTTTGAATCTGTCTTCTCCTGTTTCAGCACCTTAGAGAGGAAAAAAAGGAGGAGATCAGAGTCTGAGGAACCATCTGCAGGAGTTGGCACCTCCTGCTCTGATGGTGAAGGAACTCATGGTGGTGTGGGGAGCACTGCAAGTGTTGGTGGAATGGGTGTGGGATCCTATCAACTACTATCTTGGGAACAGTACAGGCCAGAACAGTGGAGCACTTTGCATGACAGCAACTACCAGACACTGTGAGTCAAGGATCAACCCATTTTCTTACTGCAAAGATAGCATTTCTTGACCAAGGACATAGTTTACCAGCATCACTGTGTTTTAGGTCTCCTCCTGCCTACCACGTTGATACAGATAAAGGCTTCAACTACTCCACAGCTGACGAGTCCTTTGTTTGCCAAAAGAAGAACCACTTTCAGGTCACTGTTCACATTGGTGTGGATGCAGAGCCACAGTACATCAAAACGGCCAGTGGGCCACAGGAAATTGACTTTTTCCAGATAAAAGTGTACGGGGTTAAGGTGTGTATAGATTTACTTTCAGTTAGAGAAGGAAAAATAATTGTGCAGACATTAAACATTAGTTTTAAATCCAAGGAGGTTTACATGCATAATAATACTCTATGAAAATGGTGAAACTCCATTGAGGGGCCAATGAACATTACATGGCTAAGGGTACAAGATAACTTCAGTGGGGTGAAGTCATCCTGTGCCCGTAGGAGAAACACAGCCTCAAAGTATTATGTTCCCACCTCCATTCTGCCAAACACAGTGAGTCGAGTTGATGCCAAAGACCTTGCAGGCGCTGCAAGATTTCAGTCCATTATGGTGTTTTGCTTTTAGATCATTAATAAACTCCTCACCTGTAGTTTTGGACTAAACCACCACCTTTCTTATGATCCATGAGGCAACCTCTTGCATGGAGCTCCAGACTCTGGACATTTGATGGTCACCTTCTATTTATTTGATTTCCAAATAATCACAATAACAGTTGCCAACTTCTCACCAAGCTTCTTACTGATGCTCTTGTAGCTCATTTCTGCCGTGTTCAGGTCTAAAATCTTGTTCCTACCATCCTTTGACAGCTCTTTGGTCTTGTCCACCCAATTCATACATGCAAATACTTAGTATGCTTTTCGACATTACTCATCTGTGTAATGTTTGTTTGTCTCCTTCTTATCAAAGCTGGAAACTCCAAGTCACCTTGTGACCATTGAACAATCTCAACCTGACCGCAGCAAAAAACCCTTTCATCCAGTCAGGTATGTAACAGTATTAAAGTCCATATTTTTGACCAGATACATATGACTTAACTACTGTAGAAAAGCTTTTCTTTTGCCTGAATAATGTTTGAGCTTTATTGTCTTCATGGAAGACAGTCCAGTATGATGTATGCAGTTCAATGTTTAAGAAAGCAGCTTGGTGTTGAAGGAGAAAAGCATTTTAGAACATTCCATTTTTTTCCAACACTCCATTTTTCAAGACCAAAACTGTCTTATCCTGAATTCGATAAGCAGAAGACCTTGGATGGATTGATCTGATTTAGGCCTTTTGTTGTCAAATTATTTAGCCTCTTGCAAGCTATCTAGATTACCAAATGGCAGATAATACAGTTAAAAATGTGGCAAATACAGCATTTTAAACATAATGCTATCAAAACTTCCAGGGTCAGTCTACCCAGTGGCAAAATAACCAGAGTAACACTTGGCCGACTGCACTTCAGCGAGACGACGGCCAACAACATGCGTAAAAAAGGCAAACCAAACCCTGACCAGAGGTTTGTAAATGTATAAATATAAAAAAATTAATGAAGGCATAACAGCAGTAGATAGCAGTGATAATTGTGTGTGCTTATTCAGGTATTTTCAGATGGTGGTTGGTCTGTATGCTGTAGTCAAAGATGAGAGTTTTCCCCTGACAGCTTTAGTGTCGGAGAAGATTATTGTCAGGGTAAAAAAAATACATCTATGAACCAAAAATTGATAAACCAATAACTCAATGACCGTATTAAAAAGTTTAAGATTCCATTAAAAATAAATAAATCTTTCCCACAGGCATCTAACCCTGGTCAGTTTGAGACGGATGGGGACACAATGTGGCAGCGCGGAGTGGTGCAGGAAGATTTGGTGTGTCAGGGTCGGGTGGGCATCAACACCGACTCCCCTGATGAGGCACTGGTTGTCTGTGGTAACGCCAAAGTGATGGGCACCATCATGCAGCCATCTGACTGTCGCGCTAAGGAGAACATACAGCAGGTGAAAAAAATTTCATTATCTGAATATCTAAATGATGAGTTTTGTCCATTTGTAGCATGTAGCTTTTTCATTTGTGGTTGATGTTCGACTCTCTAGTCTTCTGTAGTAGTATCTACATCAGCACAGAAATCTGTAGAATCTGAATCGACAGTTAAGTAGTTTTAGTATAATTAAAAAAGGCAATGTCTTAAAGACCACCACTGATATCTTTGCCATTTATTCAGTGGTTTAGCTGAATTCTGTTTGTCCTATTGTCCCTCTGACTTTACACATTAAAAATGACCAGAAATGTGTTCCTCTTTTTGCTTATTAGGTCGACTCTGAGCAGCAGCTGAAGAGAATTAATCAGATGAAGATAGTCGAGTTTGATTATAAACCAGAGTTTGCTTCCAAAATGGGAATAGACCACACCCACCAGACAGGTGCTGCAATTCATCATGCTGATCATACCATATGTTTGAATCTTTCTATTTTCCTCTGAGACGAGTGGCCCAATCTTGATGAAACTTTTTGCATAAACATTGCCTAGGGCATTGTGAGTGCCAACATCAATATGGTGTCTACAAATATTTTGTACAAATCCCACAATATTAATATATATTTATATATTTGGCAAATCAATTGAGCACCAAATTGTGACCTTACAACTGCATTGACCATGCACACATTTGGTGACAAGATGACAACAATGTGGTGATAAGAACACAACATTTGAGTGACCATCTTCATGTCATGAGACACTTTATGAAGCAACCCTTTGGGTATCCAGTCGTCTAGTCTTGGGTCAAGCTCTATACACCAGTAAATTTACCCCCAAAAATATGGATTTGAATACTATAACAAAATAATCTGAAAAATATATCAATATATATACTATATTTATCCATGTGACTTCTGATATTTAGGTATTATAGCTCAGGAGGTGAAAGAGCTGCTGCCGTCTGCAGTGAAAGACGTTGGAGATGTCATCTGTTCTGATGGAGAGAAAATTAATAACTTCCTCATGGTGGACAAGGTAAGAAGTGCTTACATATGAATTTTGTGTATTGTTGGACCCCTAATACACACACACACACACACACACACACACATATATATATATATATATATGTATTAGGGGTGCAACAATACACAAAATTCACGGTTCGGTTCGATACTTTGGTGTCACGGATCGATATTTTTTCGATACAAAAAAATGTTCATGCTTTTTTAATTTGTCATTTATTACAATTATAAATATATATTTTAACTCAAACGTACAGTTTTTAAATTTAATGTTGCTGAAACAACAAAGTAATAAAAAAATAAATCTATCTGATTGAAAAATCACTCATCTTTGGAAAAGAGAGTTTATTACAGAGTAATGGCT